TTAAATTTGAATGAAAATATATAAATACTTGTAAAATGCTTCAAATTTTTTTCGTTCATAGCATTAGCTGAATAATCAGGGACCTTTTGCATTATGTTAATGTATTTGCTCTCTGCTCGTTCATCAAACTTATCGTACATTATTCAAACTAATTTATTTTTTTTCAAACTTTTATCAAAATTTCAAAGAGTAATATTTTATTTTATAAAAATAATGTTTTAAATAATTGTAAATTTAAAAAAATTAAATCATTTTGAAGATTGATATTATAATACAATAGTATGGGCACTTATATCTTGTAACATTTATCATGATAGAATTTTATTTTTTCAAACAAATCATTCTAATTTCACAGATTGCCAAGCTTATCAAGATGTATTAAAATGTTGTTGAAGATTTGATGCAAAGATCTCATTGAGTAAATTTCTTATTTTATTTTTGTTTTGTTCATAAGTTTGTTTATAATCCAAGATGACTTTGTGTTAATGTTAATTGGCATGAGCTTTGGCTCAAAGTTAGGGATAACATTTTTTGGTGCTTGTGTTTTCACAAAATCTTTTAGAGTTATGTAGAGTTTAATACAGGTTTATAGAGTTATTTTACAGTGTGAGTTTTTCAGAGTTTTACAGTAAACACTGGGGAATTTAAAATATCGTTGCGTCGAAGCGTTTGCCATTGTTTCTGAAGAGTTTGAAGGATAGTTGTAGAAAAATGTGTGCCTTGTCTTTGAGTAATTTAAAATATTCTTCGTCGAAGAGTTTGCAAATGTTTCTAAAGAGTTTTAAAAGTAGTTGCTAAAGACTTGAAGACATTTTAGAAAAGAAAATGGTTTCTGAAGAATGTGAAAACTCTGTAAAACTCTATAAGACACTATAAGACACTAAAAACCAGGTTTGGTTTCTATAAAGTTTTACAGTTTAATAGAGTTTCACGGAGTTTCATAAGGTTAGTGAAGTGTTTGAAAGAATTGCTTAAGAATGTGACATTGTTTCTAAAAAAAAGTTGGAATTTTGTTTTGATGAGTTTGAACTATAGTTGTCGAATATGACATTGCTTCTAAAAGTTTGATATTTATTTACAGTTGCAGACGAGTGAATCATTGTTTAGAAAGATCGTTTGCTATTGTCTCTGAGAAAAATTGAAATATCGATTGTCACAGGTTGAGGTTTAGCATGCGGCGCCTCATGATTTTATCTTAACGGGGTTGCCGCATTGCGGAAAGAAAAAAATATATAAAGCGATAATAGGAGAATTATTGAGTGAGAACGCCGTAGTTTAACTCTTGGTTGATAGTAGACGGTAGAATTTTGCATTTTAGTAATTATTGGTTTAATTTGGAGTAAAAAAACGTTTGGTAGTAGGTTTGGCGGTAGGACGTTGGCAGTCACAAGTCTAACTGGAACGTCGTTAATAGGAATAAAGTGGTAATTGGTAGCAGGTAGTAATAGCGGAGTCAACAACAACTCCAACACAACAGCGTCGTGATAACAACCACCACAACTACAGCAGCTGCAACAACCAGTTATTTCAACAACATCTCCAACACAATAGTGTCGTGGTTTCAGTTATTTCAACACCAACTCCAACACAACAGTGTAGTGATAACAACCACCACAACTACAGTCGCTGCAACAACCAGTTATTTCAACAACAGCTCCAACACAATAGTGTCGTGGTTTCAGTTATTTCAACAACAACTCCAACACAAC